GATACATGCACAGAATCCAGAATCAGATATGCCTTCTGTAGATGATTTGGTCAAATTGTACTTTAGAATCGGGTTTAGCAATAAGGAAATCCTCTGTCTTTTAGCCCAGAACCACAGTGTGATTATTAGTGTAAGGACGCTGAAAAGGTTGTGCCGAAAACATCGTCTGTTCAGAAGGAAAAATCATACAAACTTGGAAGAAATGGCCGCATTCTTGCATACTGAAATTACGTCGAGATTAAACTCAATATGACATTTCAACTTTATTCTCGAAATGGCGAGTTTAATGTTTAATCTCGTTATGGCAAAAATATTTTTTCTCTTCATGTGTGGCCCTAATACTCCGTCATAGATATTAAACCTTCTTTGCAATATTTTCAAAATTATTTTCAGAATGTTCTTCCACCAGTCTTGGAGAGCAGGTCCAGAAATTACGTAGAATGATTGAATGAAGGATTTTTAATTGAATAAAAGTGTTGCTCATTTCTTTATACATTGGTTTTTTTTTCATTTTCAAATTTGACTTTTTCAACAACCACTAGAAAAATTGTTGAGGCTATAAATGATCAAATTCTCTTAAGACAAAAAATCAAGACACTGGAGACAATCTCTGCAGTGACCAGATGCAGGGAAATTGTTGGAAAAAGATGTTGCCAAGATTCCTTGGTGTAAAAACCGTCCTTTTACCTCTGCTTCCTGTTCATATATCCTGTCCACTATAGCCTCTGTGCGTTGCTAAGTATGGATAAGGCCTTTAACTCAAACATGTCTACATGGTGTGAAACGGCCTCAAACTATATTGATCCTTCAGTTTCTGATTCTAATCAGATCAGATGTTCAGAGTGGCAGAGCTCTAAGGAAGGCTGAAGGGGAAACATGGAGTCAGCAGGAGGAGGAGCTTAACTGTTAACTGTTTATTTGGTGAAGTTGGGATTTTTTTGTTGGGATCAGTTCTAGTTAGATATACTGGTTCTAGATTTGATGTTGATCAAAAGACTGAATTTTAATCTGATAGATTTTTTTCAGTCAAGAAATGAGAAAATTAGTTGGAGTCTTTGGTTGAGTCGATTAGAAATCAGTAGCCTCGTGAGACCATCCTGATCTCGCGAGCTTTCAAGGTTTCACTCGCAGATCAGTCTGGAGACTCTCCGTTGAAGAAAATGTGGAGCCGTTCACCAAACGAACGTCCAATCAGCGTTGGCTTTGAGGCGGGTTGAGGTGTGACGCAACGAGAAGC